TATTATACATCAGACAAATTTAGTTTTAAGAAAGTTTACAAACCAAAGAGAGAGAGAATAACACAAGAAAAACAGTTAAAGATGTGTTTGTTGGATGTTTACGAACAAGCATGTATAACAACAACAACAACAACAAATTCCAGTCACAACCTAATAAAATAACCTAAACAAACGGATCTGATTACCAAAAAAAATGTATGATCGTGATGATAATTTACATAAATCTTTTTCCCCCTCTCTCTTTTCCTTCGTTTCTATTTTTTCAATTTTAGCATCCAAGAAGAAAATCATTGGTCTGTTACATTTTGTGTAATAACAACAACAACGAAAAAAAATGTGTCATCTTTTTTTTCTTCTATAAGTGTCTGCATCGATTTATAATTACACAAATCCTAAACCATCATTATAATGTTGATGATAATTACACGAAAAGATGAATAAAACAAACAAACCATACGATGATTATAATTTAAATTATCGATGAAATATTTTGATTTTTTTTCGCTTCTTTTTTAAGCCAGATGTTTGGTGTTTTGAATGGGAATATTATGTTAATTTTTTTCAAATATCCCTTTTCAAATTTCAATGTGTTAATCGTTTTTCTTTTCTCATCCAAAATTCTATTAATGATCCGAACATACATACAGGCTTCATTTGATACAAATTTCGAAAAATAAAGACATCATCATCATTAACCCTCGGCTATCCATGTGGGGTCAAATTTGACCCCAACGACATTTAAAACTTCGCCATTCGAAAATCTATCGACATAAATCAATTTTCTCTTGAATGATCGAAGATCTATGTTTATTAAACATGATAGGCAATTTTCACCGTTTTCCGACTAAAAATAGTGGAGAAATCATCGATTTTCGGGATGAAGTCCAAATGTGCATAACGTAAGTGCTGTAGGATCCCGACCTACAACACTTACGTTATGAACAAACCCGAAATTTAATAGGAAAATCAAAATTTGTTTGCCGCTTTGTATCATTAATGATATGCTTTTAAGATAAAATTTTTTGATGAAATTTTAAAATTGATAATATTTTCAAAGAGTTGAGCACAAAATTTTAGATTATTTTAACTTTCTAACATAATTTAAAAGCAATCAAAGTTGGGGTCAAAAATGACCCCACATGGATAACGACGTGAGAAATGCTGCGTGAATAGCGGAGGGTTAACAACGTCATCATATTTAATTTTTGGAAACAAAAATCTGAAATCAATCTGATTTATGACGATCGATTTAACATTGAAAAGTGATACAGTGTGAATATTTTAATAATAATAATCATCATCATCATCATTGGGACAACACAAGAAGCCGACAGTATTTTCTTTCTTTGGAAAAAAAAGGAGAAGGATTTTTTAATGATGCTACACCAGGACAAACAAACAAACAAACAAACAACAACAACATTATCTTAATCATAAATTTTGGAATAAAAATAATTTTTTCTTAACACTTCTTCGAATGGAATATATCCATTTCAAGTTTAGAAACATTCTTTTTTTTGATGTTAATTATCATAAACAACAACGATGATGACAACAACAACAAACATTTCAATGATAATAATCATTATCCAAGCTTCATTAATATTCTTGTTTTTGTTGTTGTTGTTGTTGTTGAAGCTTATAATTTGTAAAAAGTTCATAAACAAAACAAAATTATTATTATGATAGCTTAATTCATGCATATCATTTTATCATCAGTTTATAAATGTTTTTACACATGAAAAAGCTTATATTTTATTTGACAAAATCATAATTTGTTTGTTTGTTTTTTCCAAGCTGACTGGATGTTTATTCCTTTAACACACACACCTTCCTTATTATTAATTTTTTCCAATGGAGAATTTATTCAAATGTTTCGCTCGTTTGTTTTGATTGAATTGTATACAAAACAAAACAGAAAAAAACCAAATAGAAAACAAAAAAAATGAAATAATGGTTCCAAAAATCAAAAGTAGTTTGTTTGTTTGTTTGTTTGGACTATAGGCGGCAAAAAGTAGAAATAATGAAACAACAATCTTTTGTTTTACCACTATACATGGCTAGACCATTGTGGTCATTTCATGTATTTTTGTTGTTGTTGTTGTTATTTTATCATTGTAATTGAAAACAACAACAACAACAAAACAATAACAACAACAACAAGGATAACAACAACAACAATAAAGTGTGACAAAGATTGTCTGCAAAATTTTTTCAATTCATTTTCACCTATTGAATGATGATTTTTCTTGTTGTTGTTGTTGTTGTTGTTCCAAAAAAGAAAAATCAATAGAAAATTTATCGGTTTTTTTTCTGGATTGATTTTTTGAAAAAAAACCGCAAAATTTATGAAAACTACATTTGTCGTTTGTTTGTTTGTTTGTTTGTTGGAATCATTGTCTAATGTAGTTTGGAACGTACAAAAAAAACTTGAAACTTTAAAGTCGAAATTGCCGCTATGAAACATGAATTTTTCGTTTTATTGTAAAGTTTTTTTTTCTCCATTTTAATTCAATGATGAAGATTTTTTTGATCATTTTTTTTATATTTATTCGTTGACCACTCGTTATCGACCATTCATTTCATACAATGAAGTCGGTTGTTTTTTCAATCTTTCAATGGTGGTCATTTTTCGGGAAAAAAATGTTCCAAGAAATGAATGGATGATGATAATGATGATTTTGGAAAAGAAAAGAAAAAAGGAGAAAAGAAAACTTGAACCAATCTTCGGTGGCCATTTGAATTTCGATTTTATCAAAGAAAAAGGCTTTTTTCCATCAATGATTTCATTGTTTTCACTGTTTTATTTGGATGATAAATCAACAACGAACAACGAAAACGAAAAAAAATCAAAACGAAGCCGACAAAACAAATTTATTACCAAAAAAAAAATGTCAACAATGATGATTATTATCAATCACAACCAATGATGATGATGATTAGATACAAATAAAGTTTTTTTTTCTGTTGTAATGATTGACACATTGATGAATGTCTTCATTTGTGAAAAAATCAATAGTGAAATGTTCATGTCCATTTCTTTTTCCAAATGTAATTCTCTCTATTCACATAGACATTTATGGTTGAATTACATAACATAGAAATTGAATCCGTTATTTTCTTTTGTGGTCTTCTTTCAAATAAAGATAATAATGTCTTTATTTTCGAAAAAAATTTTCTTCTTCTTCTTTATCGTTTTGGGTTCATTTCAGCAAATATAATAAATTTCATTCGTTCCAATTGACTAATTTGGTTAGGTTTTTTTTTAAAAAAAAACCTGTGTCCATTTGGTCATTTTTTTTCGCTGTTGTTGTTGAATTCACTAATAATGATCATCAGATTTGGTTGTTTAGAATGATTGAACTAATGAACATTGGGAACCATTACCACCACTACCAACATAAAAAAATAACCACAATCATTCACGTGTACGTAGTTGACGATAATTTTGTCATCTTAATTCTGGTTGTTGATGGTAGTTGTTGTTGTTTCTCTAATGAAGAAAACATTTTTTACCGTATAAAATTTACACCTTTAGGGTAATGTGTTTCCAATTTTTCTACTCTTTTCACTTGGTTTCTATCGTTGACATATGATTATCATGGTGATCATTTGATGATGATTAAGCCATTTTTCTTTTCTTTCTTTTTTGACATTTTCATTTTAACATTTATCTTGAATTTTTTTTCATTCTGATTCGATTTGGTTAGGGATTGTTATTGACCGATCAACCAACCAACCAACCAACCAATCGACCGCTATTTGCCGTAAGCAAAACCAAAAAGTTGATTCTTCGGGTTGATTAGTTGGGTGGTAATGATGATCATCATCGTCATGATCAACAAGAATATCTTTTGGACCTGCTGCTGTGTATGTTCATTTGGATCAGTGAAAAAAATTTCAACAACAAAATTCTTATAATGGAGAAAAGTTACGGGTCAATTTACCATTCTAACCACCATAACCACTACACTATATATTTGGCATCTGAAATCTAAAATGAACATATCACCAACTAACCGAACAAACATTTTTGAATCTGGAACTAATTGGACCAGAGCTCAAATAGCAAGAAAAAAATCCGTATAAATATCAATGAAAATGTCAAATAAATTTCTTTTTTTTTCGGTTGAATCCATCTGGCAAAATTTCTGTTCATTTGTTGTTGTTGTTGTTTATTTTGATACACAACAACAACAACAATCTGTCGGCATTCAATGAAAAAAAAAAATATCATTATTATTAGTTTTGTTGTTGACATGACACATTTTAGCATTTCATTTGACCACAATGACATTTTATTTGGTGAAAATGAAACGAAAAAAAAAAATTATTATGAATCATAATATTTAGTTTTGAAATATTTTCAATCAATATTTTTTCCCAATTTTTTGCTATGATTTTTTTTTTGAAAAAAAGGATGGTAATCTGATATCGGTATCGATAATATCAATATGACAATCACTGAATGAATGCTTTTAGATAATGATTTATATCCGATATGGTTCGGTTCAATTTTTTTTCTTTTTTCTTTCTGGTTTCTTTCATTTAAAACGAATGGGTTGGTTCTCGTGAACATTTATCTATTAGTTGGTAATGATGTGTGTTTGTGTTTGGATTTTTTTCGGTGTGTGAAAGTGTCAAGTAATTTTTCTTAGCTAAATTTCTTTTTATCCCTTTTTTGGGTTTTGTTTAAGAATGAAATTCAATACTAATGTCGTAGTTGTTGTTTTTTTTCTCTCGTTTCCTTTTTTTTAAAAAGAAAAAAATTTTACTAATGATTTTCTTCAGTCACTTAATTTCAGGTATCAAATTATGTTATGAATATTGTTATAAAAAAGAAAGATTTCCGATCATTTTGTAAAATGATTCCGCTTTTTGGTTGTTGCTAAAGGATTAAAACACTGGGATTGGTCATTTTTTTTAATTTTACAGAATTTTTATTTATTTATTTGAAACTAAATTTTACAAAAATTTTTAGAAATTTTTAAAAAAGGGTTTTTTACATTTAAACAAGCAAAAACTATCTATCTATGATGATGATGATGCAGAAGATTCTTTTGCTGGTGATGATTTAGTTTTTTCCAATACAAATGAACCGGTTGCAGCAGCTGCAGCAGCAGCAGCCGCCGCTGCTGCTGCCATTGCAAATGATGATGAAAATGGATTCTGATGTTGATGATGATGATGATTATGAAGAGGATTTGTTGGATGACCAATTGGAATGGTTGAAGGTGTCGTTGATGATGATGATGATGAATTTGTAGAAGCAGCAGCTAATGTTTTTAATGCTTGTAAACCATGTAATTCATACATTTCTTGTAATAAATGATTATAATTATTAGCCGCTTGTTGACTAAATAAACTATATGGATTAAATAATGTTAATGGATTATTTGTTGAACCTAATATTGATCCACCATTTTGTTGACGATGATTTGTAGAAGGTTGCAAAGATGATATTGATGATGGTGGTAATGGTGGTTGTTGAGCAATATTTGGTGATTGAATATTTGATCTTAAAGATGATCGTTCAGCCAATGATAATGGTGATGTTGTTGTTGTTGTTGTCATCGATGATGTTGATGATGATGATGATGATGATGTAGAAGATGATGATGTTGATAATCGATCAATATTATATGATGATGGAATGATTGATTGATGTGAAATTGTAGCCGTTTGTGGTAAAAGATTTTTAAATAATGGATGTGTTGTATGTGGCTGCGGATGTGGCGGTGGATGAGGATGTGCAAAACCAGTTCGTAATGGATGCGAATGATTTTGATGATGTTGATGATGTTGAGCTGCGGCAGCAACAGCAGCCATATTATATGGATTACTAAACCAATTTGGTAATGTTGAATTTAAATGACCACCAGAAGCGGATGAAGAATTATGAAACAAAGCTGCAGCTGGATGATGATGTGGATGTGGATGCGGATGTGGATGATGTCCATTCGGTATAAAAGGATAAAGATTATTATTAGCAGCGGCAGCTACATTTGCAGCAACAACTGAACGACGAAATGCAGCCGCTAAACGATTACGTGATGTTGATGTATTACGACGACGTAATTTACCGGTAGTACCACCAATAAAAACATCATCACTACATGGATCAAGCATCCAATAATTTCCTTTACCCGGATCATCATAATGACGTGGAACTTTTACAAAACATTTATTTAGGCTTAAATTATGACGAATAGAATTTTGCCATCCTTGTTTATTATCACGATAATATGGAAAATTTTTCATTATAAATTCATATATTCCATTCAATGTAAGACGTTTTTCTTTACTTTGACGAATAGCCATCATAATTAATGCATTATAACTGAATGGTGGTTTTTCATATTTTTTCTTCTTTTTTGTTGGATTTGTTCGTTGTTGATGGCCATCACCAGTTTTCTTTACAATTTTTTCATCATTTTCTTTTGATTTTTCATCATTATCGATTTTCTTTTCCGATTGATTATTATTTGATTTTTTTGTTTCATTCGTATCATCATCAACATCATCATTATCGGTATTGATTTCGACATTTTTATCTTGTTTTTCATCATCATTATCTTCATTTTCTTTATTATTTGCTTGTTTTATCAATTCAATCGATCGATCGGGTATTGGTGATTCATTCTTTTTTCGATTATCATCATTATCATTATGACAATAATTTATTGGTGAATGTCGATGATTATGATGGTCAAAATGATCATTATTCTGATCATCTTCAGCATTTTCATCAGTATTTTTATTTGATGCAATTAAATTTGATATTGAAAATGGATTTGTATTATGTTTAATAATTGTTTGTGTTGATAGTTTTTTTGGTGGTAGCATCATGATTAGATTTTTTTTTTTGTTTTCGTTGTTTAAGATTCAAGCAGAAAACATGAAAATGAAATTATTCAATGTTGTTGTTGTTGTTGTTGGTTAAATGATGACATTGATATATCAAAACAAAACAAAACACACACACAGATATTCGACAAGGCAAAGCAAAATTGAAAATGAATCGAATGAATATTTTGGAAAGAATGGTGAATCGAATTCATGAAAAGTTTATTTTTTTTATATTGAACAAAACACAAAACAAAACAACAACAACAAAAGTAGGTGGTAACCTCAAAGTTTTTTGATTGAATTATATATATTATTTTCTCTCACAAAACTAAATATTTTCGTAAAAATATTGATTTGTTGTATAAACCACCATCAACACAACATAACACCAAAGAAAAACAAGAAAAGATCAAAATGATTGTTACTGTTGTTGTTGTTGTCGATTTCGATGTTGATGATGATGATGACAAGAAATGCTACAACAACAACAACAAATATATACAGTTGGTTAGTATATACGGGTTTTTTTTGATGAATATTTTTGTTGTTGTTGTTGTTGTTGAATATATATGTGTTCAAATATTGATATACATTAATGTCAAATGTTTTCTTGATATATCCAATGAAAATGAACAACAAAATTATTACGGTAGTGGTTGTTGTTCGTATATGTTTTTGCTGTTTATTTCAATGTTTTTTCGTATGTTTTCGTATATTTTGTCAAAACTATACGTTGAAAAGTTGTATGTAAATAATAATAATGAATTTTGGTTGGCTGGTTGGTTGGTTGGTTTTTGGGCCATTCAATCACTTGTTTCTCTTTATCGTCGTTAATAAATGTGTTGAAATAGAAAAAAACAAATCCCGCCTATTTATATTGTAAATAGTAAGAAATAAAGGCGGTGCTTATTTCAAAACTATTTTCATCCTTAATGATTTGTTTTGCTGAAAACATTCCCAAAACAACAACAGGAAAAAAAGTGGGCAGTAACTGTTTTCGTTTATATTATCGTTTGATATCATCGACGATGATCTATGTATAATACAAATCAGGCAAAATAAATACCAAATATTGTGAACATTGTTGGCCAACGATGAAAATGATGATGGTATGAGAGAGAATGAGAGAAACACAAATTTGGGAATCATTTAAACATTGAACGAGAAAAAAAAAGTAAAGAAATAATCATTACAAATTACAAATATTTTGTATTTGTTTTTAGTATACAATATATTCACAGAAGGAAAAAGAATGAGAAAAATGTTGAAAGCGTTGATAATCACCATCATCATCATCATCAGTACATTAAACATTGGCAAAGATTTAAGATGTCAAACGATGATTTTTGTGTTTTTTTTCATAATGATAAACGATACCATCAGAGTGAGTGAGAGAAAAACATTTTGCATTCATTTTTTTCTGAATTGATTTGATTTGTTGATGATTATTATCAATGAATTTTATCTTTGGATGGTAATGAATAAAATTTTCAATATCATCCTCGTCATTTTTTTAAATGTTGAAATCCCTAAATATTCATTCATTCATCATATTCTGGTCGAAAGATTTTATCTTTTTTGTATACAAATAAAAGGATGTTTTCCTTTAAAAAAAATAAAACTTTAAATAAATTTCCAGTGTTATTTAACCATCAGTTTGATTAATGTTTTGGTTGAATTGTCTGTTCTGTTTTTTGGTGTATCAAAGATACTGTTAACATTTGAAAAACTGACAAATATAGCTTTCGATGATAATTTGCTTTTTGATTTTCCTAATGTTTGACATATCTAAATTGTTTTGTCGGTATACGACAAGCAATTTATTTTTACTAATTGAATCAGACACGCATACAAATAAACAAACAAACAAAAATATTTGCCGCATCCTTTTTTTTCAAAGATGCTGTTGTTGATGCTTTCTTGTCCATTTAGTTTTGTTTAAATTCAAAATTCATGTCAAATCATTTAGATTTGATTTTCTCTTTCTCTTTCTCTTTTTTGATGATTTGTTTGTTTGTACTTGTTGATTATGTGTGTTTGATGTTTGATGTTTTTGCATTTTCCGCTTGTTGTTGTTGTTGTTGTTTGTATCGGTACACTTTGATGATTAATTTTGTTTTTAAATTGAATCATTTTGAATCATTTTAAACATACATTTCAATTATGAATCGCATTTTTTTCCATCCATTGGATTATAGGCTTATGAACGGAATATTTTTTTTTAAATCGAATAACCGAAAATATTTCCAGAAACATTTTCATTTTAGGAAAATTGATGTTTTAAAAAAAAAATCAAAATAAACAAACACAAACAAACATATTTTGGTATATTGAATGTCTGTTTGAAACAAAAAAAAATTTGATTAAATTCAACAAAAAACAACAACAAGATGATAAAATGTAACAAATTCTGTTTGTTGCCAAAACATTTACAATTTACATCCAAAAACATAAACATCATCGACAACAACAACAACAACAACAACTAGAATGATTACATCATCTTCAGTATACACGACAAGATCCAGATGGAACACAGAAAAAAAAAATCTTGGCTTTTAATTTTTCTTTTTTTCGCTTTTCTTGACTTAATGTTTGTTATTGATGTTTCTGTTGTTGTTGTTGTTGTTGTTGTTTGGGTGAACCAATCGACCACTCAATATATTGAGATGTTGTTGTTGTTGTTGAATTCAATATTTGAATCCACTGATATAATTTTTTTTGTCTGTTTTTTTTTGCAGTTATCCCAAATGTTTGTGTGTAATTTGCCATGCATTTTATACATCTGCTGCTACTGAAGAAAACAGAATGTAATTGATGATGATGATGATGATGATTATGGTGATTATGGTATAAATGTTTGATGATTGATAATGACACATTTCAAAAAAAAAATTGTGTTTTCTGTTCATTTTCATTATTTTTCATGGATTCTGATTTGAATGAAAGTTATTATTATAACCAATAATTATATCTAAAGTTTCTGGATTCTTTTCTTCTTGTTGTTCAATTTCAACAAGAATCATTGATGTTCAATGTTTTTGTTTTGTTTGACATCAACATTATGTGTGTGTTTTGTTCGGGAGTATTTTTGATTTAAGATTTCGTTTTGGCTGATGGGTGAATAGCTGGTTGTGTATTTCCATTTCCGAATTTTTTTTATTTTCGTTTGATATAATAAATATTCATAATTATAGGGACACATTATCAATTTCAATTTTCTATTCAATCAGCAGATGTAAATTTATTCATTATTCAAAAAACCAATGTTTCAAACGATCCAAATGTTTGGAACATTGGTTTTTTGTTTTGTTTTTTTCGTTTGTTTGTTTGTTTGTCTTGTTATTATTGAATTGCATATAAAACATGACATGTTTGACCTTTTTAGCGGTTCAGTGCAAAAAAAAACAAACATAAATGGTTTGCTGACAAATTATGAAAAGCCATCATCATCATTAGTGAAAAAAGTATCATCATCCATTCAACCAAACCAAACCAAACCAAACCAAAATGAATCAAGGAAAGAAAAGAAAAAAGCTTGGAATGATTGACATATCCCATAAGCTATTTTGTTGTTGTTGTTGTTTTCAATAACAACAACAACAACAACTTCAAAGAAATTAACCACACAGCCAATCATCCCAGTGATGATGATGATTGGTTCTGTGAAACATCAAAAAAATAAAAAATAACAATCAACAACCGAACCAAACCAAACCAAATGTATTTATTTCTCTATAGCCAAACAAACTAAAAATGATGAAAATGATTCAATCAACCACAAAGACATGGGTCAAATCAAACAAATGGGTAATACAGAAGAAATTTTTAACACCGAAAATTGTAACATTTTTTTTTTTGAATGGTTAAATAGTAGTTAAATTTTGATGGATTTTTTTGTTTGTATTCGGTGGTTGTGGTTCATTTCAAGTTAGTTAGTTTTGCCGGTTTTCTTCTTCGATGAAGAAAAAACATTTCATATTTTTTGTAGTTTTGGTATTCAGTTTTTTTTTGTTTGTTTGTTGACCTGTCAAAAAAATAAAATGTTCGTTTTCATTTGACACAAAACAACAACATCCAACATACCAGTCCCCCTTTTTCACAAATTTTTGGTAAAATTTTAAACGTTTTTTTACTTATATTCGGGATGATTTGTTTATCCCAAAATAATTTTTACCCGATTCGATTCAATTCGATTCGTATTGATTTTGTTGTTTATCCATAGAGCTGGGAAAACTGTCACTGCAAACATTGATTATAGGTGAAAATAAACCCATATGGCGTTTCAAATCAAATTCCAAAAAAGGGAGAAAACAACAACAACAACAAATATATTACCCTAATCATCATTATAATCATCATCATCACCTTTTCAGTGAAAAAAAAAACTTTACATAAAATGTGTCATGTCAAAAAACGGTGAAAATTTGAAGAAAAAAGGAAAGCAAATGATTTGATCAAATCATTTTTGACTTGTCAAGAAAATTTTTCTGAATTGAAAATTCAAATTTCAAGATTTTCATTTTTTAATGTCAATCTTTTCTTCACCAAGTTCGTTTGTATCGAAGAAAAGGTGTCGAAGCAAGAAGAATCTGGCTTTGGAAGGTAAATCTAAATCACAGCTAACGATGGCGGCAAACATAAGAAGAAATAAAGAAAAAGAAATAAAGGTATCCAACAACAATCAATCGCGGGTAACAACTAAACAACAACCGCAACAACAACAATAAAAGCGGCGGTCAAAAAGTCAAATGAACAACAACAACAACAACAACAAAAACGAATGTTAAATGTCAAAAAAAAAAGTGAAAAGATGGCTAAAAATCCATTGTTAGTTTGAATTTGAATTTGTGTGTGGTTGTTGTTGTTGTTGTTGTATTCCAGGATTGAAAAAAAAGAGATCAAAAAACCGAATAAACGAAAAGCTTACGTGGTTTGATTTTTTGCGCGGTAGCTTTTTTCTTTTTGGCTATGGCGGTAACGGATCTTTTTCTGAT